CCCACAGGGCAGGTTTGCACCCACAAGGCCGCTCACAACCGTCTCTAACTTCAGTCTCTGGGGCCCGAAGCCCCAGTCTGCGGTGCACTGACCGCCACGCGCACAGACACGCACGCGAGCGAAGCGTCCACCCACATGCAAACAACGATCTCCTCCCACCTCCCGCCAAGAGCGTCTCCCAGCCTCTCGAGTGCCGCTGTCGCGGGTCTTCCTTGCCCTGGTGACAGAATCGGGGACCTCCCCCACCAGGCTCCCCAACCCACAGCCACAGCTGGCTGCAAAGACCTGGGCAGGGGCCGCCTCTGACGTCACAGGAGCGCGTGGCCATCTGCAAGCAACTCCTGGGTCCCGGCCCCGTCCCAGGCCGAGGTAGTGCGGGCGGCCGCCGCCTGCAGACCCCGGGCTGAGAGCTGCCGCTCCAGGCTGGGGCCGGGACGAAGTTCCGCCGTCCGCTCCCGGTGCGGTGTGTTCCCGAGTCTGCTGGAGTCTCAGCGATTCTCAAGCTGTGGGGACAGCGCAAACTCAGACTCTCAGATCGCGCTTAGACTACAGCCCGCCCAGGAGCGGTACCGGAAGTGGTGCCTGGGGGGGGCTGAGCGCTGAGTCTTCTGGGTAATGTAGTTCCCCCGCCCCCGCCATGATGCTTCGTGGGCTTGAACACCACGGATAGGCACAGCCTCTTGGTTATCTGCCTCTCTGGTACCCATATTTTGGTTCAGCTCCTTCTCCAGGGGACTTACTGAGACGGCGGTGGAAAGGGCTGCAGGCAATCTCAGAAAAGCAGAGAGGCCTTATTCCAGATAGTCTCTCAGAAAAGCAGAGAGGCCTTATTCCAGATAGTCTCCAATGCTATAAAATCAGAAGACCCAGGAAAGCAGATTCGTCTGACATAAGAAGTCTGGACAGAGGAGCAGATGCAGGGGCCATGGAGGATGCTGCTACTGGTTTCTTTCCCAGGGTTTGCTCAACCTGGTACCGTATAGAACGCAGGACCCCCAGCCAGGAGATGGCACCAGCCACAACGGGCTTAGCCATCCCACATTGATCACTAATAAAAATGCCTGGCTAATGACTGTTGCTGGATTCCTTTAATCCCAGCACTTGAGAGGTACATACAGGTCCAAGATAATCAGTGCTGGCAGAGAGAGAGAGAGAGAGAGAGAGAGAGAGAGAGAGAGAGGGAGGGAGGGAGGGAGGGAGGGAGGGAGGGAGGGAGGGAGGGAGGGAGGGAGAGAGAGAGAGAGAGAGAGAGAGAGAGAGAGAGAGAGAGAGAATGCCTTACAGACTTGCCTACAGTCCTAAGTTGGGGAGTCATTTTCTTATTTTTTTTCCTCTTTCTTAAATGTGTTTATTTTGGATTTTCCAGACAAGATTTTCAGTGTAGTCCTAAATCTTTTGGAACTCTATGTAGACCTGGCTAGCCTCAGATTCTGAGATACACCAACAACGGATTCCAGAGTGCTGGGATTAAAGGAGTGTGCCACCACTACCCATACAAGCCATGTTTCTCTTCGTTGAGCTTACCTCTTTCTTATGACTTTAGACTTTGTCAAGTTGACATAAAACTAGCAACTAGGCACCGTGTAGCCAACATATGGGCAATTGCAAACACAAACACACATACAATATCGAATGGGCACACACAGAAACACACACACACACAGAGGAAAATGTGAGGGAATGGGAAAACAGTAGAAATATCTAGACACAGAGTGTTAATGGCTCAAGTGAGAATTTCTAGTCAGTGGGGAAAGGTGTGTCCTCTGACATGCAGTATTAGGCACTAAACCTCCCTGAGATCTCCAAACAGTCGAATGTCAGCTCTGACGAACTTGCAGAGTGCTGCAGGTGTAGACACTTCTTAGCCACAGTATGCCCTTGTCTCCATTCCTAATACTTCCAAGGAATAGAAAGGCCTGGCTGGGCCTCAGCAGCCCTGGGAACTTGCAAGGTCATCAAAACAAGGACTGGAGGACATAGTGGACAGCTCATGGGTAGATTTTAGTACTTGGCACCTCTTTCCCAAAACAGTTACAGGATGCATACCCTGTTTGGCTCAGGCATCCAATAAGTCAAAAGACTAAGGTCCCTCTAAGTTTTGGCAATAACTTCATCTGTCACCATTGATGGATAGAAAGCGACAGTCAATGCCTTTAACAACAAACTAATTAGTTCTGACTTACCAAACACTTAAAGTCTTTACTGTTAAAAATTCATACCAGCCAACTTACATAAGCACTTATATAAGGTGAACAGGGAGGTGTGGATAGCGGAGTTGAGAGTTTGAGGCCAGCCTGGGTCATGTGGGAAGATAACTGTTGTTTCATGTTACAGAAAGCTCTTGTTTAGAGACTTGAGAGAGGCCAGCTAGCCCTCCAGTACATCTAACGACCACTGTGGAGACCTCCTATGTGGTGTCCCAGGGATAGCGTGCCACATGCCTTGTTCTCCTGAGTCATTGGGTATCTAAGGGACACAAAAGCAGCCACAGGAAGAGTTGCTGGGGAAGCAAGTTCAGGGTTCAGATCCCTGTGGTATGGTGGAGGCCAGGTGTGTTCTCATGCACAGGGTCCACATGCATTATTTGTAATATCCAGAACCTGGAAGCAACCTAGAATCCTCAACTGAAGAGCAGATAGAGTAAATGTTATAGAGCTTGAAGTTAGGGATCGTGATGTCTCAGTACGTTGCCTTGTTGAACAGGGTTTTTTTTTTTGCTATTCTGGGTCTTTCTTTTTCCATATAGAGTTGAGTAGTGTGCTTCCGAGGTTTGTGAAAAATTGTGCTGGTATTTTCATAGGGATTGCATTGAATCTGAAGACTGCTTTTGGTAAGATTTCCATCTTTACTATGTTGATCCTTCCTATGGAAGAGCATGGGAGATCTTTCCATTTTCTGGTATCTTTTTAAAATTCTTTCTTTAGAGACTCTAAGTTCTTGCTATACAGGTCTTTCACTTGTTTGATTAGCGTTACCCCAAGGTATTTTATGTTGTTTGTGCCTATTGTAAAGGCTGATGTATCTGTGATTTCTTTTCTGCCCATTTATCTTCTGTATATAATAGGGCTACTGACTTTTTTTGAGTTAACCTTGTATCCAGCCACTTTGCATGTAGAGTTTTTCATGTCACTTATGTAAACTATCATATCATGTGTAAATAGTGAAAGTTTGACTTCTACCTTTCCAATTTGAATGCCCTTGATCTCCTTTTCTTGTCTTATTTCTCTAGCTAGAGCTTCAAGTACAATATTGAAGAGCTATGGAGAGAGTGGACAGCCTTGTTTTGTTCCTGATTTTAGAGGAATTGCATTGACTTTCTCTCCATTTAGTTTGATGTTAGCTGTTCATTTACTGTATGTTGCTTTTGTTATGTTCAGCTATGTTCCTATTATCCCTAATCTCTCCAGGATCTTCATCATGAACGGGTATTGGATGTTGTCAAAGGTTTTTTCAACATCTAGTGAGATGATCATGTGGTTTTTCCTTTGCGGTTTGTTTATATGGTGGATTACGTTGATATATTTCATATGTTGAACCATCCCTGCATTCCTGGGATGAAGTCTACCTGATAATGGTGGATGATTTTTCTGACATGTCCTTGGAAATCCATTTGCTAGTATTTTATTGAGTATTTTGCATCAGTGTTCACTATGGAAAATGGTCTGTAGTTCTCTTTCTTTGTTGTGTCTTTATGTGACTTGTGTACCAAGCTAATTGTAGCCAAAACAAAAAAAAAAGAGTTTGGCAACAAACCTCTTTCTTCTGTTGTGTGGAACACTTTAAGCAGTATTGGAATTTACTCTTCTTTGAATTTCTGGTAAAATTCTGGACTTAAGCCATCTGAGCCTGGACATTTTTTGTTTGGGAGACTTTTGATGACTGCTTCTATTTCATTAGGGGTTATAGGTCTGTTTAGATGGCTTATCTACTATTCTTGATTTAAATTTGATATTTATGCAGAAAATTGTCCATTTTCTTTAAATTTTTGAATTTCTGGGAGCACTGGTTTTCTAAGTATGACCTCATGCCTCTTTGGATTTCCTCAGTGTCCGTCGCTATGTCCCCCTTTTCATTCCTGATTTTGTTAATTACCATGCTCTCTCTCTGCCTTTTGGCTAGTTTGGATAAAGGTTTGTCTATCTTGTTGATATTCTTAGAGAACAAACTCTTTGTTTCATTGATTCTTTTCAGCATTTTCCTAGTTTCTACATTATTGATTTCAACCCTCAATTTGATTGTTGCCTGGCGTTTACTCCTCCTGGGTAAGTTTGCTTTTTTTTGTTGTTTTTCTAGAGTTTTCAGTTGTGGTATTAATTCTCTAGTGTGACTATTATCCAGTTTCTTCCTGTGGGCACTTAATGCTATGAACTTTCCTGTCAACACTGCTTTCAAAGTGTCCCAAAATATCTCCAAAGTACTCTCCTTCCACTGTGTAGGTCCTGAGGATTGAACTCAGGTGGCCAGGTTAGGGAGCAAGTGCGTTGACCTGCTGAGTCATCCCACCGGCTGCACAACCCACTTTTCAAAGGTCACACTACTTTCATACCAATCCACATAGGGAACAATATGAACTCCAGGGTCATTGGGTGAGCCCACCTCTTGGGTGAGACAAATCTGGTTCCCCGTGTCTTCTGATTTTATAGCACTGGAGAATATCTGAAATAAGGTCTCTCAGCTTTTCTGTAGTTGGCTGCAGTCCTTTCCATGGAAGTCTCGGTAAGAGACCAGAATACGGGGACACCACAGAGACAGAGCAATGAGCAGCTGTATGTATCCATGGTGTTCACATCAACTACTATGATGACGACAACCACGGTTACGTTACCCAGAAGACTCAGAGCTTAGCCTCCCAGACACAGCTTCTGGAGTCTTTCAAGAGCTGCCTGTAGTTTAATTGCGGCCTGAGCCCTTGCTAATCTCAGCATGTAGTCCCTCGGCCTGGGATCCAGATACCTACCAGGGAGAGATACGTGATAGGCGTCCTCCAAAGAAGCAGAGAGCGTACCAAGAAAGCCTTCATCCTGGCCGAACCACTGAACGAAACTGGTCCTCCTGCCCTCAATCGGCCACTCCCCTCCTGCTAACATTTCTCCTCCTGATTTCAGAAACCCCCTCTTTTCTCTCTCACGGTACGTGCTATGCAAGGGTTCTCCTGCTGAGCCGCATGCCCAACCCCTTTAGAGTCCTTGTCCTTACTGGTTCCTGCCGTATGCTCTGTGGGGAGGTCACCCTGAGCTGCTGCTGTCCTCTTACCTGCATTGTCTTCTGAATAGGACTTGGACCTCCCAGGATCCGTGTCCTTGTCCCGCTGGAAGACCAGGAACACGGCTGGTGACTGACGAAACAGATGTGACAGCAGCTCTAAGAAGACAGGCCTGGAGGGGGACTACTTCAGGTGAGAGAAGAGTGAGGGTGAATGCATGTCAGGGCTGGCTGGTGGAAGCTTCCAGGAACCTCCCCTCTGCCGTTCCTGTATCTTCCCGAGGACAGCTGCCGCGGCTCATTTTTGGTCGCGCAGCTCCCGTTCCTCACTTCTTGCTCACTTGCCAGTCCAACTCTGGATTTGGCTTGGGTTAACCACACCTCTCTGGCCCATTCCTTGCCACGGCTCCCTGTGCAGTGCTCTCTCACCACGAACTGCTCAGTGTGGTCTGAGATGTCTACGCAGGCTTTGGACAGGTCCTCAGACGCTGTTTCTTCTCCTGGGTTTGATACGCCCCAGTGTCTCGTCAGTGCTCACACCTCACCAGCTGAAGAGCCTGTTGAAAGACAGCTGCAGAAAGAGGAGTCACAGGCCACCAGTCCTTCCTGGAATGCCCACTATCCCTCTATCTGCCCTGCTATGTGTGAGGCTCCCTGTTTTGACACGGCCGTGGTCAATACAACAGACCTCTCCTCATGGTCACTTTTGCCGTGAGACAATTAAGAGTGTCACCTAAGGGTTCTTAGACTGTAAGACAGGCATTTTTAGTGGGGCCATTTCCTCCCAGGAGGTTTCCATTTACTTCAATATTTTCTGCTTTCAGGATTCAGGAGTGGAGGCTAAGGAGGCACATTTGCAAAAGGGATCAGAAGTGAAGGTTACCACAGCTGGCTGTGGAGTGCATGAAGAACCTGCTGTGTACCGCCTCATGTGCTATCTGTGGAGGACAGAGGGCATGGATAAACGCATTACAGTTTGCCACATGTGCATCCAACCCTGGGCTTAGTTAATAAAAGTGGAGGGCAGCAAATCCAGAATGTTGGCATCTAAGTGTGCTTCTGGAATGCTCTGATCACTCTAGCAGTGACAGATGAGGGTATACAGATAGTCTCAAGCCTTCCCTGGTTGTTTCTCTGTAGATGCTCGGCAACGGCAGGTATTGAAATGTTGCTGGATCACCAGGTCTACACGGGCCAGAAAGTGGAGATTGGAAAGAGAAGCTAGTCCGTGTAGTGACCTGGGTATCAAAGTTGGTCTTTATTGTTCATGATGCTCTGTGTCCTATGAAGCAGACCTCTCTCTCACAGACTGTAAGACCAGTGTGTATTGGCCAAACTTTGTGGTATTTTCAGTAGACAGGAAATCATCATTTTTGTGCTTTTAACTCTTCCTTGTATATGAATCCACTTCACTTATTAAAGTTGTATAGAAGTAGAATGGATGTGCACTATGCTGTGCATAAATAGAGTACATACTGTGATATCTTTCATTTAATGTACAAACCCAGGAACTCTTCACGGCAGTCATGATAATGAAAATCTCCGTTACTTGTAATAATCCCTCCTCCCACTTTATAGTCACTTCTGTCTTAACTTCCCATCCCAGTGTTCACTGATTTATGTTTAGTGTAGATTCCTTTTCCTCCTTCAGAAGTTCATGGAAAGAAAATAAGTGTCTTTGCTTCCTTACAAACATAAATTTTCTCCTGTAGCACATGAGTGCCTGACTGCTGTGTTATGGGGCAATTTTTCTCCTGCATCTTTACTCCATAGTTTGTTCGTGGGTTAAAAGACATTTGTCTCCCCTAGTTGGGACCAATCCAAGTAAAGGTGCTATGAAAATCACCTGTTAGACTCTCCTGTGTGGTACTGTCCAGACATCAAAGGCCTGGATGTCTCTTTTCCACGCATGAGATTTTCCCTTCTAGATGTAACTGATGGCCCAGAAAGATTGACACTGCAACAGCATAGTACTTACATATTCCTGTAGAAGGGGCCTACACAATGTCTCACAGCCTAATGAGAGACCGGTGTTGAGCAGGAGGCCTCACCCTTTGAGGATTCCACAGGTGGAGTAAAGACTTCTAGGAGTTCCTGATTTGTATAATCCCAACAAGTTTCAGAATTTAGTCATGCCTTGTCACGAGGTTTTGGTTTGGAAAAACTCTGGCTTGTGGGCTCAAAGTTGAAACCAGTCTGTACTCACAGAGTCTCTGGTTTGGACATGAGAGCTGTGGTCCTGGTGAGGCCCTTTGGACTTTCTATGGGCTCACCAGCCATCCTTAGGAAGCATTACTAGCTGTCACATCAGGAAACCGATGAGCATGGCCCTCTTTCGTCATAGTCTGCTTGCAGGTTTATCTGACACACTGTGTCCCATCTCTATGACATTGCTCCCCGCAGCTAGACCTTCAGTTCCTTAGCGTGCTCACCAACACTCGCCCAGCTCAGTCTTCTTCTCAATCTTTGTCACTCTCCTTAGTTGTGCTATCATTTTTGTCTCCCTGTGAACCAATGTTGTTCAGATTTCTCTTTGCACTGATTGAGATTCCTCTCCTTTATAGTTGTCTGATTGTTTTGTGTGTGAGTCCATGAGAGAGCTTACATGCAGAAGCCACAGTGTGCACATGGATGTCAAGGACAATCTCAGGTATCACTCCTCACCTACCATGTCTACACAGGTCTCTGTGGTCATCTGACACTGGACTCCAGACAGACTTCCGGTTATTCACTAGTCTCCTCTCATCCTTGCATAGGAGCACTGGGATTACGGATGTGTTCTGCCTAGACTCCTTTTGCATGGGTTCTGTGACTCAAACTCAGGTCCCCAGAAATACACAGAAGCACTCTATCCCTAGAACCTTCTTGTCAGACACTTTGCTTTCGTTAATAAACAAGAACATTTATTCCTGTCTTTTTCCCCATTAAGGTTTCTTCTTTATTATTAAGTTTTGTTTTTGTTGTTGTGGGAGGCACTTTCTCTGTAGCCCTGGAAGTCCTGGACCTGCTATGATAACCAGGCTATGATGAATGGTGACTGTCACTAGCAGACCAATAGTATCTGATACAAACGCCCAAGTCATGTTCAGAGTCACTACACTGTTATGGACTGACGTCTACGGAAGCAGCAGCCCTGTGACATGTGAGGTGAGTAGCTGAGCTCCTCACTTCTATCCTGCCAGCCTGGTGAGACCAGTGACTGCTGACATGGTGTTTATCCTGAGACAGCTGCTGTCTCACAGTCTAACAAAGCCTCAGTCAGTCTGGCGCGATAATGATTCATAGCCTTTAATTCCCGCAGTAGGGAGGCAGAGGACAGGAGGACCTCTGTGACATCATGGCCAGCCTGGTCTACAGAACAACAAAAGAGCTGCGGTGGCTTTCCCATGCTCACCTGGCCAGACAGTGCCAGTCTCCCTGCTCTGAGTGCCCACACATGTCACTTCTGTCACTGTCTCCCACATCCTCTGAAGATGTCACATGTCACCTGCACAGCACACAGACGTGGAGACCAGAGCAGAGCTGCAGGTGTTTATTAGAATGAGCTTGACAGACAGAAGAAGGAGGGGACAGGTGTCTGGATTCCAACTTCAGGAGGGAGAGAGGACAGGGCTGCAAGATGTCACAGGCATCAGCCAACATTTTAAAGAGGTTATTATGTAAGAAAATATAAGTTAATGATTTTTAACTTGTCTTCGGCAAAGTGTTGCCTGCATTCTTCACTGAAGACGATGCTTTCCTGGAAATCAAAAGGACAGAGGATTAGAGGTTGTTACATGCAATGTACAGAGCTTCACCAGGACTCCCCAGTCACCCACGATGAGACTGCTCCTTGTCCTCAGTGAAGGAAACTCCCTGCAGTGACTCAGGTCTCCACAGCAGACTCTGCCCAAGGGAGCTGCAGCTCATCCACAGCTGCCAGGAGGAAGTCTGCAAAGCCACCCTAGCCAGATGGGATGAAGGGGAGAAGGTGCTGGAAGGTATGATGGGGCTAGTGTGGAGAGGACACAAGATGGCTGAGTATTAGTTTTGATGGTGTCCCGTACCTGAGGACATCTGTCCCGCACATTGCGTAATACATCCCCTGTGTGTGTGTTAGAAGAAAATCTGTTTGAAGAGGTGTAGTTTTCAGGTCCTGTCACTCAAACTAAAGTACAAACATCATGAGTGATGCACTATTCAGAATACACATCCGTATAGCCCAGGTTTGACTTAAGATGAGACAACAGGAATCAAGGAGCAACTGTGGTGGGCATCTGCGGGCACTCCCTAGGGTTGGAGTGGCATCTAAGCTATGCAGGGAGGTTCTGCCTTGGCCCTGAGGATGCCAGGAGAAGGAGGGCTCCATTTGAGACAGGGGAGTAGAGTCAAGGGACACTTGCCAGTAGACAGAATTCAGACATCTTAGATCACAGCTGAGGATGCCCTACCTGTGCTGCAGCCAGAGCAAGGATCTCCTCTGTCCCTGCCTGCCCTAGTGTGTAGAGAACCCAAGATTACTCATAGCATGGGAGTGTCTGCAGAACTAGCAGAGAACAGGCTGGCTGTGTATGTACCGGCATGCTGCATTGACATGTACTAGGGTGTCTGTTGTTCATCCCCTGACACACATTACTTGTACACAGCATGGAACCATGTGTGCATGGGGGGAGTGGGTTAGGGGGAAGTTACCACAACTGCCAAATCCAGGAGTTTGCTTTTCCATCCTCCCTCATTGTAGCATTCCTGGATTTTTTCAAAAGCTTCCCTTTCCTTGTCAGTCGGGTCAAACTTGCTAAGGATAGAGTTCAATAGTTGCTTGTTTCCAAGGACCAGTGCACCATAGATATCATAGAAAGAGAAGCCTGCTTCCCCTGCAAACACGGATGGAAAACCAACATTAAGGGAGCCCCAGGCTACAAAAGGTGACATTCAGGATTTCTTGCCACATCACCTAATGTCTTACCTGACTTTCCACACAGTCCTACCCTCCCGAGGCTGCTGCCTCCCAGACATATCACACAGATTCCATAGACACACACTCTCAGTAGAAGGGGATAAATGAGTGTGCCAGCCTGCATATCTGACCTTCATGTAAGCCCCACACATGATCCACCTTCAACTGTGCATGAAAACGTGTGACAGTCATCACCCCCACACGTCCACCTCAGCACCCACCCACCCCAACTGTCCCAGTCCAGAGAAGTAAGTCACAAGACTTGGGCAGGACTCCTGGTTAGAAACCTCCCAGGGACCCCTTAGACTTGTCTCTAGGCACTGACTGGAGATCTGTCTACAACTGAGAAGTATCAGAATTGCCGCCTGTCCCGGTTCTCACTTGTCCGTAAGCCCAGCTCCCCGGTCACCAGCAAGGAGAGCAGAAGCAATGTCCCCTTCATGGTGCAGAGTGCTAAATGTTCTTCTCAGAGCAGATCCTGCTGCCTTATAAGCTGCTGTCTCCCTGATCCCAGTCCCGCCCACCCCATCCCATCCAAGCCCAACCCTGCCTCCCACGAGTTCCAAATGCCTTTGGGCAAGAGCCTGGCACCTGTGGATTCCTGTCCCTGTTGCATAGGAGCCCCTGCCTGTCTGAAGAACAAATAGCAGGAGACATCCTAATGTCATCAGCTTCTGGACAGAAGAGGTTGTATCTTTGCCAGAAGACCTCTGGACTGACCTTTCTAACTAAGCAGCCACATACTGAGCCAAATGCCCTGTTGTCCTAAAAAAAACTGTCACCACTACTTTCTCTCTTGGCTGCAAGCATGTCTTCTATAGCTTGGAGGTGGAAACCATCGGGGTCAAGGAGGATTTCTGTCACTGTAGGGAGCCAACAGCCCACAACACTGCTTTTCACTGAGATCAACACGTGAGCAGATGTGTGCACATCTGGGACCATACTGTGTTCCACGGACATTATAGCATCTTAGCTGCTGTCACCTGTGGAGTCGACCTCTCAGGACAGGGGGCACCATCTGGGGCTTTTAGTGACTGCCAGCCAGGGTAGTCCCAGTGTGTTAGGTCACGTGGGTCTCCTCAGGGCTGGGGATGTTTTT